GACATTTATGTATTTGATGGAATATTTACTAATACTTTATTAATTACATTATTTATTTATTTATTTATTTTGAATGGAATGGCTCTCCATAGAATATAGTGCTGGAACAATAGACCATTTTGTAGTTTTTTTGCATGCACATAGAGAAATCTAACTTTTCCAGGGTACAGGTTGAAGAAATTTATTGGGGTTTGCTTGTAAACTGATTTTAATTACATTACACATGGTGTAGTCTGATCATAGGAGAACTGTAATAATCATTAAATGTCACTGTTTTGCTTAAATTGATTATTCTATATAGATAGATACATGCCTGAACATGAATYCAACACATAACTGAAATGTTAATATCATTAGAGTAGATTCTCACTGTCTGGAGGCATGACTTTAGGGTTAGGGACTCCTTCCTGATGATGTAATAAAATAGGTGGAGTCATGTCTCGAAGCTTTGTGTTATATTAAACTGACTTCCGGATGTTCGAGGCCTGAGTGCTATTTCATTAAAAGCGTTCAGACTGAGCAGCTCTTGGGGTGTTGTATTATCTCTTTACTATTCATGTTCCATGCACTGGTACATTCTCTGTTTGGTTCAAGCACAACTTGGTAAACAAATACGCTCAACAATATTTTCTTTCGGTATGCTGACCCCGACATCCCACAGAGCTTTAGCTGGAAATGTCCTTGGACTTTAACAAATCGAACAAGCTCAAAAAAAAATTCTAGCTTGAAGATATTTATGAAAATTCTCATGTATGATCTTAGCGCTTTCAAGCGTGGCTGCTTGGCACGCATGTTTATTAACTGGTCTATAAACAAGAGTTAGAAACATTTAAAAGGGGACCTACTGTATCATGCAAAATCCACTTTTTGACCCATCAAATACATTTTGTTGCGTACTTGGAGTCTCTAGAAGTGCAAAACAGATTAATTTAGTTTCTATTGGTGCTGCATAGATACTGTATATATATTATTTTTGGGTAATGTGTTTCATTTTCTTTATTTTTTATATGATGTTTTCGGAACTATTACATCACAGTTTCTGGAACGGAACAACCAAATAAGGTCTGGACTTGCCAATTACATTTTGGTCGTCTTCATTCTCCTCTGGTTCTGGGTCAGACTCTGGCTCCAATATGTAAGGCTGAAAAAGTCTTCTGTTGTTGACATTTTTAAATTATTTTGTAAAAAAAAAAACATTTCTGCTCAGCTATATAGTCGTAAACCCCTTTATCGAGCTAGAATGGACTGGTCTGGAAGCTATAGGGGTGGTGTGTTAGGCGTCTCGTTTGGATTTAAATTGGATTTAAAGAGACAGTATCAAAATGAGTAGATACCCAGAATGCTTTGCAGCATTGATAAAATGGCTCCGTCTAGTATTTTTGCAATCTTTTTTTTTTACATTTGAAGTAAATATTAGTAATTAATATACCTATAATGGTATGGTGCCATATTAGCTTGTGCTCTAATGAGCAAATAATGTCTAACATGTACAAGTTATTGGTGATCCCTTTTAAAATAAAAACATACCTAACTGAGCTAAAATATATTTGAAGTGACAAGTCTCCGAAAGCTCACAAGCTTCTAAATATTCCTTTTGTTCACTCTGTGCTTTAAACTCTTTGTGTTTCTCTCAGATGTGGGGGGGATCGATGTCCGAGTCTCCAGAAGAGGAGGAGAAGGACTTAGACAGTCCAGGTCCATTAAGAAGTGACCTTAAGTCCCAGACACTTCTGCAGGAGCCTCTGCCCCTTGGCCCGGACGACTCATTGGGAAGTCCCCGCAAACGAACGCAGACCCTCCCCACCTTTAACTGCCCCCTCACTGGGATGGCAGCCAAGGCAGAGGCCCTTAGGTGGAGCCGCAACCAAGAGAGCGTGGAGGAGAAGAGTGAGACTTTTTCAGAGGACATTTTTAAAATCCTGGACCTGCGGACTTCGGGGTCGTTTTTTGGGGGTTCTCAGTTGAGCAACAAGGACAAGGAGGACAGACTCACTGCTCGAAGAGGGAGTGGCCACACGTGCTCCTCTACTATTAGTTCCCTCAAAGCAGAAAGTGACCCCCAACCCGTGCGGGTTCTCCCTCATCAAAGGAGTGCGGACGCCTTGGTGGTGAGCAGCCCGGTGCAGCAGGTCAACAACAAGCCAGAACCGAAGCAAGACCAGCAGCAGGTTCTCACCACGTGAGTTCAGCTCAGCAGAGTGTTCTTCAAACACAAATACAAACAATTTAAATATTTAAATAGATCTGATCTGATCTGTCCCTTTGTCTCCTGCAGTTTGCAGCAGCAGAACAAGGAGCTGAAGGCCACTGTGGCAGAGCTTCAGGCTGCTTTGGAGGCAGAGCGCCGCCGTGTGGCCGCTCTGGAAATCTGCTTAAAGAATGCAGAGCGGGGTCAAGCCGAGACCCAGAAACGCAACGAGGAGCTGCAAAGAGACATTGAGCGGTTCYTAGTCAAAGGGCAGTAACAAAACTAAAAAGATTCAACCTAAAATCCATCTGCTCAACCTGAGGTCATCTTCCAGCATCACTTATTTAATCTGTTTGGTCCTGCAGAGGAGTTATAGGCTCGTTTCTTTGCACCTGTGAGAAAGGTCTGTTCGGGGGTCTACTTCCTCATTCAGTTAGAGACTTTAAACATGTTTTTCTTACAGTCTCAGGTACTTTAATTATCTGTTAAACAGAGCATTCGGAGAAGAAAGAGCTACACCTGGAATGATTAAATTATTTACACAGACGTGCACAAGCCAAATTGAACAAACAGGAGTTCACGTACAATGTGTCATACTTGTGTCATCATTAGTCATCTAATGTCAGTCAAAAAATAAATAAACTTTTTAAATTTGAAGTGTTTTTAATGGGCAAAATATGTGCACCAAGACCGCAACCCATCAGGTTTTAGGATTTTTTTAATATATTTTGAGTGTTTTTTTTTCCACAAATTATGAAAAATTAAAATGAAAAAAAAAAAGAAGAAATTTGCAGGGTGCCAATAAATTTACAGGTCATTAGGGTTGCCATGGTAAGCACACATATGTGGAATAACAATGAAATATAACCCTCAAATAGACATTCATGTACAAAAGTTGCTCTCCAAGAGCAGAAGGATCCAGTCAACATGTCAGCTGTTATGAGTCTACAGTGGCTTTTGTATGAAATATAAACAGACCCTTCACATTCAGTTCTGAAAAATATAATTCTGAGCTCAGCTACAATGGAAGTCAATGAGAGTTGAGGTTTTCCTACTTGACACCATAAGTCCTACAGCACTGAGATGCTGGGTGAAAGAAGACAATGTTTATATTTTGATATATAAACTGTATGAGGAATGTAAAGTTTGTGGGAATAAGATCACTTCTACTGCAAAAGTTTTAGAAAGTTTAGTTTATTTTGCTACATCATTACACTATAAGTATAACACCTTTAAAAATCACAAAAGTTTTTTTTATTAAAACCATTAAAGATGTCAAAGAACCAGTCCAATCACAGCCTGATCATCTCCATTCTGCTCGATTCTRATCTCTCTTCTTTGTTCAGTCTGGGATTTCTCTCACAGACATGGATTTCTCTGGTRGAATTTCAATGGGGCCAATCAGCGAACAGGAGGCGGAGTTGCAAACAACAACAATGATTTTCTGTGCTGTTATAGTCTACCTATAGTTTAGCAATGGCAGCAGAGGACGTGAATGAAGTCATTCAKTTTGTGTTGRCAAGTCTTCCAAATTAAATTCAAGTTGTCTCCCAAAGCCTGCAGCATCATTCACAGCCRTCTCATTCAGCTCAGTACCTCTACTTCCTAGTAATTCCCAAATAATCCACACCTTCAGCAAGAAATCACATCTCAACAGCCCAGAGTCCAGACCCTCTGTAYGAAGCAAAGCGTGGAGGGGCTGGTTTTTACCAGGCTAGTCCAGTCAGGTGAAGCTCAGTTTTCTGCGACCTGTTCATCCTTATAATCATGTTTCTAATATGAAGTATTTCTGAGCCGCAGAGCTTCAAGAAAGCCATGTTTTCTCACTTGTTGCTAAAATCTCAGATGTTCATACTGAATATTTTTAAATATATTTTTTGTAGAACTGTATTCTACCAAAACTTATAGCACAGCATTCCTGACCAATTGAKAGATTTTGAAGCCTTTTTTGTTAGAGTTCACAGTAACAGAGAAAAAAATTGTTGAATAGTAATACATTAAAGAATGAAGCAAAACTTTGTGAAGGGCAAGCCATGAAGGTAGATGACTGAAAATTAAAAAAGGAAAATTGAATTATGGAAATCATTTATTAAGATCCATCAAAAGCAACTATTAGCTGTTTCTGACCGTATACTTGTTGACAGAGGAAGTAGGTAAGGAAAAGGGTTAAATTGCAGTATAAGCAGCAGGAGGTGTGGTAATAGGGGTATAGGTGTGATTAATTAATTCATATTATTTTAGACCACATGAGACTATTATAACCTTACAGTGCTTTGAAGGCTGACATCATCTTCACTTCCCTGTTTTAAGTTTTAGTTCCTCAGCTTTACCTTTTTTAATTCAGTCCATACACTTTAAAACGCCTTTTTGACTTTTTACTGATTCAGTTTTTATGTTAATTTTACAAGCTACATTAAAGGTTGTTGTGATAACAASAGTTATAAGTTAAAAGCTTTTTAACTTAGAAACTTAAAACTTGTTCTTTAACTGTGTTATGGGGTCCACGCTTATATTATCTGCTGTCTCCTCGGGCAGTCGGACTATTCTTCTGAGAGTTGGCGTTAATACTGTATCTGTAAACTGTATTTTATATCACATCTCTTCAGGATGCGATAAAACCTATCACCATGCTCAGGATGGGAGACTGTGATGAAGTGATTCAAGAACACAATCTGCTGGCTTCTTCTTTAGATTGTTTTTCATGTACAGTGGCCTGAGATGATGTATAGAGACTTGGCACTATATAAATAAACTGAATTGAAACTGAATTTAGTTTTTTTTTCACAGTATACAGCAGGTAAAATAAGTATTGAACACGTCACCATTTTTCTCAGTAAATATATTACTAGAGG